AATCACATGTTCTAGAATGGTCAATAAATTTTCTGTTGTACTTTTGAAAAACAATTCTCTTTATTTCGGAATGAATGTGGTTGGGTGGCGAAATGATCAAAACCTCTCGTCAAAAAGCCAAGCGACTAGGTTAGTTACGACCTATAAGAGGGTCCACATCTGAGTTGCGACAATATGCAACGTTCCAAGAAAGGTGAATGGAATTGATAATCAAAATTGACACCAACATTGGATGAACAGAAAATGATGGAGTTTCAGTAAAAATACACAAAATTGGAGAAGGAATTATATGTTTCACACGGCAGAAAATGTACTACTTTCCTACCTACTAAAACAAATAACTACTCCAATTTATTTGTTCACAGTATAGCACAGACCGAATCCTCCCTAATTGATATACTCTAGGATTCAGAGAGGGGAGTGACTGTTTCCCATGACCTCTTTGCTGCACATGGGAAATTTCATGTAAACCAAAACAGTCACCGTAAACACTCTTTGTTTGGTGAAACCTCTATTAATTCCTTTGACATTGCACTAACCTCAGCAAAGTTAGGTCGAAACAGGATGTTCAGAATTGCGTTGCCGTCAAATACTCTTCAAACGATTTTGGAACGTTCACGTATTTGTGTAAGGTTTGTGTAAGCTTTTAGCGCAACTGATGACTGACCGTTCTTGTTTATCAACAAACTCAAAACAAACTTGAATATTCATCGGAATTCGATTTTTATCTAAGGGTGTTTTTCTCAGGAAATTGTTATTTTTGTTGTTTTGTAAAGTATTTCACCTGAAGAAGCCACTGTGTTAACGAAACTTGTCGGAGTACGGTCGAAAAACTTCGTTTTCGAATAATTCTGTCCTCAGGTTCTGATAAATTCTGTTCTGAAGTGTTACCTCACTAAGATACAAGGTGATTTCTCTATTCTCCCAATATTCAAAGATGTACAGGTGGTTCGAAAACATTGCGACGTGTTTAGGAATTATAGGATAAAGACATTATGAAACCTTGAAAATTGTTGGGGTGATACTTCTTTTTCAGTTTTCTACTATCGTCTTGAAAATCTTCACATATGAGTATGTAGAATGGCATGACGTTTATATTGATCATCGATGTACCTAACTTACATCCACAAACTGGTATTATATGAATTACAATTATACAAAAATTGCAGAAAAAATCACATTAGGGCATTGACTGATTATTTTTTAGTGAATTAATGTATATCATACCTACATGATAATAGAATAAAATAGAATAGAATAGAATAGATTTATTTAACCAATTCACATTTAGAGTTTGGCAAGTCATGTACAATACAAATTCATTGAAACAACGAAATTTGAGTATAAAAATATAGAAAAATTGAAACAATAAATAAGTGGAACACAAACATATCTCACTTGGATGAACAAATATCAATCACGCGCACACAATTAAGTTCAATTAAAATTAGTTAGTGTTTCTCAATAAGGAGTCGAATGGAGACAGTAAATAATCTCCTGCAGTGTAAAAGCAGTGTATCAAAATATAATTTTCTATAACTGACTTGAATCTGGTGGGACTCAGCGATTTTATATTATGAGGAAGAACATTATAAAAATTCAGATCTATAGAATTTTTTACCGATTTTGTAAATTTGAAGCGGGGTAATCTGAGATCATCTGCTTTTCTAGTCTGGTAACTGTGAACACATGAATTAGTCATGAGATCATTTTTATTCTTATAAATCTCCAAAAGAGACAAATAGATACACAATGAAGGAAGATGCATAATTTTGAGTCGTCTGAATGAAGGTTGGCAGTGATCTCTGAATTGAGCTCCAGCTACAATTCTGACTGCTCGTTTCTGAATTTTGAAAATTTTGTGAGAACTACAAGAGTTACCCCACAATGATGTACCATTACTGACATGCGAGTGAAAAAGAACGAAGTAGCATGTTCTAATAATATCAGACGACAATAGTTGATTTTTCAAATTTCTCAACACGAAAATTGAACTAGAGAGTTCTGGCCTCAATTGTTCGATATGGCAAGCCCAATTGAGTTTATCATCAATAATTACCCCAAGTAATTTGACATTGTCTCCCGTTATATTCTGGTTATTGGTAGAAAATATGAGTTTTTGAGTTTTATCCTCATCGAGCTTCAAATTAGTTGAAGCAAACCATTGTTGAGCTATAATAATAGAGTCAGCATTCATGGAATGCAAAACGTCCAAATTAGTACAAGAATCGATTAACGTTGTATCATCAGCGAATGCTATGCATGACTTTGGAAACATAGAATGAAACAGGTCATTGACGTAAAAAATAAAAAGAAAGGGCCCTAGAACAGAGCCTTGTGGTACTCCATGTGACAATGAGATAAAATCAGAACATATTTCATCTACATAAACACTTTGTTCGCGACCTGATAGGTATGATCTGAAAAAAGACAATGGTAAACCGCGAACACCATAATATGACAACTTTTCGATGAGTATGAGATACGCAATCTAAGGCATTAGAGAGGTCACACAATGTGATCGACACATAGGTAATGTCCTTTCTTCAGGCCTTCAGCTATGTCACTCACAACCTTTGAGATGGACATATCGAAAGCATTTGATCGTGTTTGGCACGAAGGACTCCTCCACAAACTACCATCATACGGCTCACCACCTCAGCTATGCCTTCCAGGCAGATCGCTTCATGTGGTGGTGGACGGTGTATCGTCTGATACCATTGGCATCAATTCCAGCGTTCCACAAGGATCAATTTTGGCACCAACATTATTCCTAGTACCCTCCATACTGCATTCTCTTCCAGAATTCCCATTTCTTCCTAGGAAACTAAGAACTCACGGCGCAGGCAGGTCAATGCTGTCAATGAAGACCTTGCTGAAATCACAGCCTGGGGAACCAACAACCTAGTTGAATTCAACGCCACCAAAACTCAAACTAGAAAGGCGGAATTCAGTATGTCCGACATCGTAATGTCTGGCACCACCATCTCCACCAAGCCCACCATATCTATGCTCGGTATTTTCATCAGCAACACTCTTTCATGGGATAATTATGTCAGATCCATCGCAAAAGCTTCTTCACAAAAACTCGGATTCTTGTTCCGTGCGAAAAGCTACTTTACACCTCAACAGCTTCTCATGATCTACAAATAATTTAGAAAGAAACGGAATTATTGAAATGGGACGATAATCATCGACGACTTCTATCTGACGTTCTTTGAAGAGAGGTATCACTTCAGTTAGTTTGAAGGCAGTAGGAAATTTTCCCTCGCTTGTACAGGCGTTGAACAGTAACGTTAGTGATGGACTGACTAAAATTGCTACAGTTGCTTTTAGAATATTGCTGTTGATTCCATACGCATCAGTACAGTTTGAGTAATAGTAATAGTATTATTTCTAATAATATGTCTTGGTTTATGATCAATGAGTATTCTCAGTTATCAAAAAACTTGTTTGCACTCGAAAACATGTTATCGACGATGATTTCGCGACTTTTGATGCTACACAAAACTGTATATTATCGTAAAGACCCTCGACTAGCTTTCAGAATCCACTAATGACATCGTTGTCTAAAAGCCCCGAGACCGAAGTTGTTGAATAATCATCCTTCATAAGACTTGCAAATTTGCCATAGAAAGTCAGAAGTCGTTGTAGACCTCCATTTAGTTTTAAACATATCCAGCTCCAAACAGAAAACAGGCAAGAAGAACGGCAAGTTATTTCCTGCTGTACAGAAGTTCACAAACATCTCGTCCATCAGCACTGTGAAACCGTCTTACTGTACTGATGTTCCTTATAAACCCAGGCAATGAATAATATATCATCAGAACAATGCCTTGATATCCTACTTTTGTATCTAGTTAAACAAACTTTTCTCAGAGCAGAAGCGAGAGAGAGAAGGAGATATAATGTTGCGAGAAGCTAATTTCACGCGGACTAGGTTATTGGGCCAAACATAAAGAGAATAATAAAACTGGAAATTATATTTTGATTTGCCGAGTGGTTCAAGGGAAATGATAATTTGTTTTCGTTATGTTCAATTCTATCTGAAGCTTTGCAAGGTATATTTCATTATGTGTAAAAATGGGAAATCTTACCAGTGAAAACTGATGAAATTATAGACTTTTATTATATAGAGCCAAGCTTCAATTAATATTTTTATACATAAACCCTTATGATATGGAATTGGGAATTATTGTTTCCACGTTACTCGGATGTCTATCAGATGCAGAAAATGTACCATAGCTTATTATTATATACGGTGGACGAAAGATGTAGATAACATGATTTTTGGCATGAATAGAAGTCTTTCTGGAAGTTTATTGATCATCTGGGACTTCCACCTCACGGAGGCATTTAGAATTCATTTTCCATTGCCCTACAGACCGAAATTTTGAATTTTTGACTTGTATAACGGTTTTTTATCAGTATTTCGAATCCAAGGACAGATTGATGCCCAGAATGAGCCATTCTCGAAGAACGTTATGGTGAATATTTTTCACAGGGGTCACTCATGATGAAAGCATATACGAAAGCTCCGCAAAGGAACATATTCTAACAGAAAGACATATTATCTGGTCTAAAAAAATGCTGTGAAGTTCACAAGTATTCTTCAAGAAATCAATCTAACATCTACTAAATAATTTTAATTATATGACCTATAAAAAATCACCAAATTAGGCAGGCAGTCACCTCTATAATCAACTTCCAGAAGAACTTAAAAACCTCAGCTACAATATGTTCAAAAAAAACCTGAAACCTATTCTTATCCAAAATAGCTTTCATACCACAGCAGACTTTCAATCATATCTCCAAATATGAAATCAACAATAATTAAATTCAGTCTATAATATGTTGGTGCTAACTTGTGAAGGTACTGTATTTTATATAACTGTGTATACCAATTGATGTGAATGTCGATCGCTTCTAATTTCATTTGTTCGATTGTATTATATCTTTAGTCATTGTTATTTTTCCATGTATATACTATTCACATTCCAATGCATATATTTTTTGTATGGCGAACCGATCATTGTATGATGGAAAAAACGGTAATATAATATCTATCTATCTATTTATTTCTCTTCTCCAAACCATTTCCAATTGTCACTGATAGGAACATTTTTTAAACGCAGTGATATTTTGGGCCAACTCATCTGATTTGTCCCCACTACACATTGAAATAGTATTCACATTTTTATTTTATGGAGACGTGGAGAGAAAATGTCAACAAAATCTGGAATAATGAATGTACCATCTCCACGATTAACCTACAGACAGTATGGTATAGATAGTTCTTATAGATCTCTGAGTAGTAAGATTAAGTCACTCTATGATATGAACGAATGAAACACTATCATATCAATCCTGAGTTTAATCAATTCCACAACACTAGCCAATTGTCAATCAAGCTATCGAGCCGCCCTTCATTTGTCATCGTCCTCTGGTCCTGGTCCTGCTGGCCCACGTGGACCGTGCATGTCGTCTCTGCCCTTTCTGAGTCTCTCCTGCAACTTGGAGCACGAGCTCTTGTCCTTGATCTGGTCTTCTGGGCAGTTCAACTGGACTTGCTTGAAGAGGCAGTGGCGAACTGCGATGCCGACTGGTTTGCAGGCTGCCTCAGGGTCAGCCTTTTGGGCTTGCGATGTCACGTTCTTGACTTCTTCCAAGCAGCCTGCTACGACTTTGTCGGCGATTGGGGCCAGCGTTGGTTGTTTCGACAGGAGGTTTTTGATGAATTTCTGGAAGTTTTCTTGCTTGAGGTTGCCATCAGAGTCGATCTGAAATGGAAGGAGATCTTTCAAGAATTGTATGACAACAATTAATTGATAGTTATTTGCTTTAGTTGGCCGCAGAGTAGTGGATTGACTGACTGATGGTTAAGGAATTTAGTCAAGGCAGCCAATCTACATTTGCTGCCCTTTTTTTATGTTCTTGTTTCCACGAGAAGGGATATCCTGTAATGTTCAGAGAACATCGTGAGAATCAAGGGAAATAAGGAAGGAATTGGTGTTGCGAAGCCTCAACTCGACGAGTTTATCTCGCGGGGACTGCCGAGGGAGGTACAATCGTTGATATTTCAGAGGAGCATCGTCCTATGTGAGATCAATTGCTAAAAGTGCATCCCAAAACTTGATTTTCCGTTTCGGGCCAGGAGCTATGTCACTTCCAGTCAGCTGCTCATGTTCTATAAGGCACAGATCCGACCTGTCCTAGAATACTTTTCCCATATTTGGAGTGCAGCGCGTGCAGCACTCACATATACCCTGAAACTGTTGGATTCTGTCCTAAAAAGGGCAATTCGTCTCGTGGGTGATGCCTCGCTCACAAACTCACTCACTTCTCTGGAACACCGTGGAAAAGTTGGCGATCTGGCCCTATTTTATAAATATTTTCATGGATGATGCTCTTCTGAAATATCAACGATTGTTCCTCCGTTGGCAGTTCCCGCGAGACTAACCCGTCGTGTTGAGGCATCGCACCCCTTCGTGGTCACTTTGGAGACCTGCAGAACATCTCATTCCCAAAGACCCGTTCACCCAACGAACAGCGAGGTTCTGGAACACATTGCCGAAGGAAGTGTTCCCCGAGGCATATACAACCTCCAGAAATTTAAGGAGAACACCAATTCCTACCTAAGTTCCCTTGGTTCTCACGATGTTCTCTGAATATTACAGGATATCCCTTTTAGTGGGAACCAGAACATTAAAAAAATATATATTTTTTCTTTTGAATGTTATAATACCAATTCTGAGTATTTTTTTATTTAAAACTGCATCATTTCATCCAATGTTGCTGAAAATTTTGATTACCAATTCCATTCAAATTCCTTAGAACTTTGATTCGTAACAAATTTCTCCTGCCTATAGGCAGTGAAAGTTTGTTGTTAGACAATGCAAAAGTCATAACAAGTATGCAATTGTCTGGTTCAGAAGAAAATTCATCCATAAAATTATCCTTACATGAAAATATTTCAATTTGGAAAAAGCGTTTCAATACGTGAATTGAAGAATATGAGGAATACTGAGAAGTGATTCTGGTGTCTGAATCATCAAATTGGATATGATTATATAATCATAACGGTTCACACGAAACTTTATATGACTCAACTAAGCTGTTGTGAGGTAATATTGAATGGTGTGTTAGCCGATTATAATAATACGAATGAAATTTGTTTTGAATTCATACTGTGACGGATGAAACACAATTTTTTTCATCAGTGAGGTGTTTCCCCTATTCGTTGAAAATGATTACTATGATTTTATAGTTGTAAATAGTTGGTTTCAATCATCTAATGATTGTGTTCCTCTTTCATACGTGTTTTTTTCAACAACATCCCAATTGGGCTATCATATCTCATTACATTCGAAATGATGTGGTTTTGATCCTATATTTTATCTATGTACAAATTCAAGCTGATGTGCAGTAATAAGCAGTATGTGTGGAAAATTTGTTGAAGGCTCAATTTTTATGTCATTAATATTAAAAGTGACATCACATCACGTTATACTTACGATATTTTGCTTTTGGCCCACACATTGTTCGATACACTGAAATATAAATATAATATGTTAATACACAGAGCTTGCTTTATACGGTACGTTTATTAAGGAACATTGATTGGAGTTCTCGTAATTGAGATATATAGGAATGTTGACAAAAATTGGGGAATTTGTATCTTTGATTATGATAAAAGTAGTACAGTTTTGTGTAGATGAATTTATTTTTATAGTTTGACACTTTTCAGTGTCATACAGAGCACATCAACTTCCAAAGAGAAATATTTTGCATTTTCATGTTGAGAACGGGAGCAGATTCGGTCCCGAAACGACCAAAGATAAGTAAAAATTCGATATTTTTCCAGAATCAAACATTTTTTCAAACGAATTGTCACCGACAAGCTACTGGATGTTTCTTCAAGGCTCCCTGTTAGGAAAATTTGTTAAACGCAGTGACATTTTGGGGTAATTCATCTGATTAGTCTCACAACAAATATATTAAAATAATACGCACATTTTCACCTTATAGAAACGAGGAGAGAAAATCCCAAAAACCTATGTAAAATGAATATACCACCTCCTCAATTAACCTAGAGACAGTATTTGGATGGCAATAATTAGACCTTTTTTTGAATAGTCATAATACCTAATTCCCATTCGATAGTGTTCGTCCTCACAAGAATTCTTCTCCTTTACATCAATTTTTCGATTAGTACTTTTACAGAGAATACGTTTGAAATAACCCAAAGAGAATAGCACAAGGTATTTTCCATATAATTTGAATAACACACCATGACAGCCCCCGATTATTGTGGTTTGCAGGACATTTTGTCATTATGCCTGATGATGACCTCCGTGGTTGAAACACGTCGCATCACCGAAAAAAATGTATGGAGTATATTTTTCGTGCTATAATCTTCATGGTTTTGTATAGATGGATTTTTTCTTCGATTTTGAGAATCAGAATTGATTTCTACCACTCACAATCATATCCTTCCTGAACTGCTCGACTTTGTCGCAGTTGAAGGGATCAAATGGCCCTCCGAAGTGTCCGTGGTGTTTGTCTGGCCTTCCCTCGGGCTTTTCCTTGCCCGTGACCTCCTTGAAGCAGACCCTCTTCACGTCTTTGTCGTCTTCGCTGGGCTTCTTGAAGATCTCTTCACTACAACACGGAGATTTTCCTCTCTTCGGCCTGCATTTTTCCTCTTCCGAAGAGGAATTCTCTTCTCTGCGTACCCTGGGATGAGCCAATAACGCACTGGTGTACACGTCTTCCAAGTCGCCTGCTAGGATCTGGTCTAGAATAGATTTATGTAAAGCTTTCGATACTGTGAATCATGAAATTTTACTGAGTAAAATATATTCAATAGGTGTCAGAGAAACAATTTGATTGGTTGAAAAATCATCTGGAAAATAGAAAGCAGTATGTTGAAGTCAATAATATTTCGAACGACCATTCAACAAGAATACAGTGTGTCCCACTTACCATGCTCACCATGGGTATCTTTTTAACGGTGAGAGATACGAGGTCGGTAAAATGACACCAAATGTGGAGTTTGTCAAGGCCAACTATAATGTGAGGAAATATTTTGATAAAATCTATTCGTTTTTGTTTTATACGCAAAAAACTGATTTTGATCATTTTCATGCCTCCTCCGTAACTTATTTATTTATGAAAATATTCAAATACTAATTTCACATTCTCATGGCAGTTTTTCGAACCGATTTCGAAAAATAATATAAAATTCATACCAACTCTTCTAGAATTTGAGATATCAGCACCAACTTTAGTTTTTCAAATGCAGGTCATGGCTCACTATAACTTAGTTACAAATAACTTTTTTTTCTCTTACATCATCTGTCGCAGTAATAGTTTTGTGTTGATAACAACGGAGTTATCGTCATTTATACAAAAACAAATAATTTTTTGGAAGCCGCCATCTTGAATTGATACATTTCAACAAAAAAATCATGATCTCCGACCTCAAAAACCCCCATTCACCAATTTTGAATGGAATCGGACCTAATGTTGTCCGCCATCTGGGAGCAGCCATTTTTTTAAATTTCGACAAAAATTCCATTACTCCGATTAACTTGAAATTCGGCAGGTGTTCATAATTTCGGTGACAATACATTATGGAATTTTTTGTTGAAATTAAAAAAAAATGGCTGCTCCAAGATGGCGGACAAGATTTGGTCCGATTCCATTCAAAATTGGTGAGTGGGGGTTTTTGATGTCGGAGATCATGATTTTCTTGTTAATATTTATAAATTCGATATGGCGACTTCCAAATAATTATTTGTTTTTGTATTAATGACGATAACTCCGTTGTTATCAAGAAAAAACTATTATGCAGTAATAGTCATCTGTAAGAGAAAAAAAGTTATTTGTAACTAAGTCATAGTGAGCTATGACCTACATTTGAAAAAGTAAAGTTGGTGCTGATATCTCAAATTCTAGTAGAGCTGGTATGAATTTCATAACTTTTCCGAAATGACTTTGAAAAACTACCATGAGAATGTGAAATTCCTATTTGAAAATTTTCATGAATAAAGAAATTACGGAGGAGACATGAAAATGATCAAAATCTGTTTTTTGCGTATAAAACAAAAACGAATAGATTTTATCAAAATATTTTTTCACATTATAGTTGGCCTTGACAAACTCCACATTTGGTGTCATTTAACCGACCTCGTATCTCTCACCGTTGAAAAGATACCCATGGTGAGCATGGTAAGTGGGACACACTGTATATCAAATAATCATAATTGAAAGTGGTTTCATAATTTTAATACTCTTCAAATTGACATACTTTTAGCTTCCTGATTATGATTGTTACGATGAGAATTGGTGGCAGGAAAACAGAAAGCCTCAAATCCAGTTCAGTTTTTCCTCCTCTTCACGATTCCTTTATTGATGAACTCTGTCAATTATTACATTCAGTGTGTTATTTTGATACTTCGAATAAATGTAAATTTTTAATGAAGTCAAACCTGGAGTTTCACTTCGCCCGATAGGTGAATGAAATTTAAGCTCTATATCGAATTTTGGAAAAATATACTGGGTAGGTCAATACTTATAGACGAAAGAATAATTATTCGGAATCGATAAATCGCCCTGTATCTCCGTTATGAAGACTCTATAAGACCTATCAACTATGGTATTTTCAGAACCACCTTGGTGACCCCTATGTACCATTGAAATATGCCCCTTTATCTGGGAAACACCCTGTATTCAATTTCAGTCAGTTTTAGCCTTTGACCCGTCCAATAGCAGCTATGTTATTGAGCTCATTTAATGGATTGAATTTTCTATCTATCTATATCTCTGAGAACTCTAATATTTTGAGAAATAACTTTCATGAGATTTTTTTCAACTCCTGGAGCGCACGAAAGGAAATTTTTATAATGTTCGAAGATCATCGTGCGTACCTAGGAAGGATTGGGAGAGGGGTTAGGTTAGGTATCGGATTTTCTCATCATTTGAAAGTTATGAGTTCTTGGGAATTCTTCCATTGGTAAAGAATTCCAAAACTTTGCAGTTCTACAAAATAATTAGTGTTATTGGTAAAGTGTTGTTAGACATATATCAAAGTTGTCGAAAGGAAGAATGTGCTCATCACATTGTTCCAAAACTTCTCGTCAACTGCTCGAAAGTTTTGATAAACAATGTCATTCGGCAAAATTATTAGACAAGAAGCTGTCGTAACAATCGCCGAATATTTCCCGCAAGATATTTCATATGATAAAATATTCGAACTCCTTCTCTCCATCCATTGAAAAAGCATTGATTTACTGATGAGTTTTACGAGGTTTTTGATTTGTGGGAGAATGTTTCGAGTGGGTTAAAATATTCCGATGCATAAATTGAAGGCAAATTGGTTGAATGATCCGGTGGCGAAAAATAATCGTCCCTTAGCGGTATCAGCGAGGGAGAGTTTTTCAAACGATTTCAGTCAGCTGATGATTACATTAGGCATTTCCATCGGAGCGTGCTATACGGTATGCAAAATAACGGAATTTTCCAGGAGAGAAAAATTGATAATCATTCTGAATACTAGTTGCTTTCTACAACTAGCTGCTATTACTTTTTCGCGATTATTTATTGAGTAGCCTTAAAAACTCTAAGGAAGTTTTGAAGAGTTTTGTTGAATATTGAAATACCGAAATGTGATATCAACAATAGTCTAGATGAGTATTTTGGCCATTTGTCATCCTTGTTAGTATACTGGAAAGGAAATAAAGATCAGCTGACTCTACAGGTTGTCCAAGATGCAACTTTGGCAATCGATAGACCACTTCGGAATATTTCATACAGGAACTACAGTTTTCGATATACGGGGTGTTGTTCAAGAAATCTCATTATGAATTGTTAAAACAATGCCTTCTAGAGAATGAACTCATAAGTGTATAATGTCTATTCAAGGGACGCACTCTTATGACCTTACTTCGAGACTTTTCACATTATCGACCAGTTATTTCTTTCTGAAGTTATGTTCAATGATCAGATCATCGAACGCTAGTATGTTATTCTGTCATTCACTAACTTTTTTGTGTTGAAAACGTGATCAATTCATGATGGATAATAGTCAGTATAGCTGCAGGAACAGCGGAAACGGTTTGATTTTTTCAGCATCAATTTCTCCGAACTTTCCACTTAAGATTCAATTAGGTCAGTTTAGAAGATATATGGAGCAGAGTAACATGAATGAATTTTCCGAAAATCTTCTTATTTTCAACCAGGAATAGCACCAAAATATGCCCGTCCCTTTCAAAGGAATCATAATCAGTGACTACTTTTTTGTCAGATTATCCTTACACCAACTCCTACGAATTATGGGAGATGAAGATATGTATGAAGGTGATATTTAGATGATGAAAACCAAGCCAATCGTCTGGAACTACATGCTGAATGTGACTTTGGACCAGCACAGTACATTGCTACTCCTGACTATCTATTTACTCGGATTCAATTGGTTGAGGATGTATGTCTCATCCAGAAAAAAAAAGTTCAGAAAGCCGGAAACGTCAAAGCAGGAATATATTTCGCAAAAATCTCTAGAGATCTCCAAAGATATTAGTGTAGAGAAGAAGTCTCCCGATGTCACGACAGTTGAAATTTTCAAGAATTAGTTTTCACAAATTTAAATTATAACCTTTCGCTACCTTTGGAGTTCTGATATCATGAGGAACAGATAAACGACTGGTCATCAGATAATGATGTATCCAGAATTATCCCAGAAAGTATTTGTAAGCACTAACATCTGTTCTGAAAACGATGAACGGTTACACCCAAAATATTGTTTCATTTCATTCCATTTATGCAATGATTTTGTTATTGTTATTTTATGTTCTCAGGTGTAAAATGTCCCTTCTGAAGAACACTAAAATCTATTCTTCCTAATGAATGTTGGTTTATTTTCCAATAAAAAGTATTTTATCTATCACACAATCAATTTTCTTACGAAGTAAAAACTTGAGTACAATTGTTGCTGAACTTTGTACACGAATGAGTTTCGATGAAAAATGTGGTGGCGATAATTTCATAACTATAGGGAAGAAATTATAAAACGGAGTGAACGCATTTGTGATCGATTCGATATTCAATAATATATTATACGAGAACTAAGATTGCATATCTGATTTATAATGACTCTATATTCCATATAATTTCACATTTTTCAGAATGAGATGTCCGAAAAAAGATACGAGATTATTTCTTGCAACTTGGCAGAGTATGAATAACAAATAGTTCTGTGGCTTGGGAAAACTTTCTGGAGATTTACCTTTTAAATAATGTATGTACTTTGCTCCAAAGTTGCAATCCATCCAGTTCCTACCTACTTTAGAGCATCAAGTATTCATTGTTTCTGGAATTTTTATACGTTGATATAGGTTATACCACAACCTACAATTTCGTGGATTGAACTCGATTTCCAATTGATTCGCATCCCTACGGTAGCAATGCAGAGTTGAGATACTATTTCAAAAAAATGTGAAAACTTCACAAACGATTAGATTTCCACAAAATTCTCAAACACATGACTTGTTTTGCTAACACAGTAGCTTCGTCAGGTGATATATTGGTACGATGAACTAAACTAACATTGGCTTGCTTATACCATATCCTACTTTCCCAGCCTGAAGAATCAGTTAACTGTGGTCAGGTTCGATAAACCTCCAATTTCGGAAATCAGGCTTAATATCTACATTAAAGGAAGGGTTGATATCAAATACATTTTATTACTTACTAAGGAAACGAATTGAACAGTGGTCTGATGTCTAATTGATCGTTAAGTAGAATGTCGGAATTTTTGAGTTTCTTGATTTCAAATGATTCAAAATGATTGAGTTCCATTTCTTTATTTTCTACGTGTAGAATTTCGAAATTATCATCAAAACTATGGTATTCTTCTAATATATGGTTGGCGTATGTCGAATTTGTTTTCTCTTTCAAACAATTCGTCTTATGTTCACGAATGCGCTGATTGAACGTACGACCTATCTGACCGATATATTCCTTCCACAGTTGATGAGTTTGCGTATACCCCTCATTTTTTGAATTCAGAAGTTTTGTCTTCATTATTCTTGATAAACCTTCCCAGCGTGTTATTAGTTCTATAAGCTACTTTAAAGTCATGTTCATGTAGAAATGAAGCTAATTTTTCAGTTGATGATCCAAAATAGTTCAAAGTTCTTCAATTTCGATTATTAGGAAGATGAACTTCTTGAATAGCTTTATTATGAAGTTATTCAGAAAGGATACTGTCTATCAAATCAACGTTGTATCCGTTGTTGACTGCAATCTGTTTTATGATATTGAGTTCTTTATTGAAATTTACTTCCGAAAGAGGAACATTCACTAGCCTGTGTATCATATACATATATGACACAATTTTATGTTGATAAGGTTGTGTTGAATTATTCTGAATGGTGATATCAGTGTGAAAAGGTTCATGTAAAATTGAAAAATCATGTTTTTCATTAATTTGACTTATTGTCAAATCTGAGAAATCGAATTCATCGAGTAACGGCCAAGTCAATTCAAAAAATATTTCAAAAAACTTTTTAGGGTTCGTTTTTGATCTTAAATCTTCAACGCGAAGCAAACTCTGCCAAACCAAGTGCACATTCAATTTTAGCTTGATATTCCGGATAAATACGAGTGTGAAAAATATATTTTTTCTGGAACAACAACAGAAATAAATCACTCACTGAATTCTGAGTCTTGGAAATCGTAGGCGGCAATCACTGCCACCAACGTGGCCAATAAGGCACCTTCAGCGAATATTTTCATTGCGAAGCGCGTTGGAACACTGAAGATCAGATAACCAGCCACCATTTATATATCAAACATATTGCCATAAACTGTTGTGGTTCATGGAGCTTCGCTTTACCTGTTTAGTCGGCCGCCAGATATGTGGGGAAGAGTGGAGCATCAAGAAAAAGATCAACGATTTTTTTTCACTTGATTATTCAGGATTTTCTCTTCTCGCTTCTACAAAATGAAAATATGAGTATCATTTCGATAGACAGTGTGTGCGATTTCAACCCGCAACACCCTTTTAATTCGGAACTCGGAACGGAATTTGAAGTATTCAGATTTTCAAGGCCTACTTTTGTTTGTTGAAGAGGTCAAAATTGCAAAAACGACTATAAGTCAATTTTTTTTCGAATAAGTGACTAGCCTATTTCATTCAGGCATAGCTAAAATACCCCTATACGAAATTTGAACGCAAAATCTCATACAGGGTGTTAGTTATTCAATGGCAAATTTTGATATTTTAGATTTTTCGATTCACGCTGTATCAAAATTTGAGGAGTTGGTATGACCGGTGTAGTAGTCATTCAATAGAGGAACACATCGAATACATGGGTACGAAGTGTCATTGCTGTAACTTCTACAGGAAGATCTGAATTGAATGTTCTTTAATGGGTGAGAAATCGTGTATTCTCAACATATTATTTTCTCTACTTCGTTTCCGAGAGTATTTCGAAAGATTTTTATGTCGATGTAATTCTCACTGACAGAGCTCTAAAAATGAAAAGTGCTGAATAGATTTTCTCTATTCTGGAAAATTATTTGGGAAAAATATTCGATTATCAACTTGAAATAACTAGTGTCATCAATTATTTCGATACAGAGGTTTAATTCCTGTTATAGGTTCCGGATAATAACAGCGATTATACTCTTTAATTATAGTAATACACATTGATGAATGACCGTAATTCGTTCAGGATGTAGCCATTATGTCATGCTTCATTAAATTATCTAGTAACTGTTATTGGGTCGTCATAGCAAAATGAATTGAATTGCCTTTATAAGACAGCTAGGCTGTCCCCTATTCAATTCAATTATTTAATGAAGGTTATTCAATTCTTGATAACCGCTATTCGATTTTTTCTCAGTGTGATTATACCTATATGGATACCAGTACTTTCGATTTTTCGAGAGTATGTATATTATTCTTACACTTTCATATACATTTGACCAATTCCGTGTAAGAGGTAAGCCAGAAGTGACACTTTTTTTTTTACTATGATCCTTACCACTCCTTAGCAAAAATTTGGCTATAAGATTTGAATTCTAAAATATAGAATATTTCATTGATTTGTCGACCCTATAATATTCAAAATGGAAATTCACACAAGCCACTGGCTCTTTGTTTCCAATGGGCTTATATCAGAAAAAAAAAATATTTTATAATTCGATAGAACTCACCCAAACTAGCTCACTACCGTAAACCGTTTCTTTCTGTGAGCTCCCTACGTTTTATAAAAAATTATTGAAATCCCCGATTTTTCGGACTACTGAATGATGTGACGTCAAAACCCTAATACTGAAACAAGACTATTCCAGACAGAGATGAATGATACATGATTTCTGACAGAGTGAATTAGCGCGAGATCACAGTTGAGAGAATTAATATATCAGTTGCCTTAGTCTCCGTCGGGCGTTTGGTATTTTCTTTTAACTATGGCGAGATAGGGTTCCTTCGTCATAAAAGGGTCCGTTTTCAGAAGGTACTATTATTTATGTCCAAAAATAAAACGTTCCAGTTAATTTTTCGATCGAATTATGTCGTCAATCATTATTTATGTATAAAAGGATCATTATAAACATGGATTGAGTTGAAAGTTCTACTGAGGTGTACACGCCCATTTCAGCCAACAACAATGATCAGTAAAATAACTTTGTGATGATACATAGAACTTTAGAAATGCGGTAGTAATAAAGCTGTGATCAGCAATCTGCGTCTCCATCGTTTCAATTTAACTACCTCATATTATTGGATTATCTGATATATCATTATAATCAATATCACTATTGAATTATGAGATCTCGTGGAGAAGAGAAGTAAGAGAATGCTAAGCGGAGCAAGTACTACTTTGCTTGATTACTTATTCCAGAACAAGTTTTCTAGGTGATGTTTTCGTATTCCGAACGGTTCTTCCAAAAGTAGTTTCATATCAACAAATCTTATATTATCTGCACAAGATCAATAAGGTCAACGAACTGTTTAATTTGACGCATGATCCAACAGACATTTCGAGCAGGTTTTTTTCATTTCCATTCGAGTTCGAAGAATTCACAATTATTATATTGTCAACATTGTTGAATAAATATCGGTAGATTGTGTGCCGAGCACCAAAGTTTGATGCCATCATCATTATAATGAAAAACAAACTATACCAAGTGTACCAGGCTATCAGGTACAAGGCGTTGATGTAAATGAACATTCCTACTGAACAACCCTGTACTATTTCGTACTATATTCAGTTCAAAAACATTGAATGTTTGTATTTCGGCAAATAGGTTGCCCTCTGGAAGTGAAACAGAAGAAAACCCTCGAGAATTCCTGTATTTGGAACGGAAACTTTTTTGAAATACAAAAACCAGTCCTACTAGGAGTCGAATTCAGCTGTTGAAAATATTGTTTACTTGATACCTATAATTTCAGAAAAACATTATACTTTCTGGAAGCGGAATAAAACGAATATATCAACAGCTGCCTTTGCAAATACTTTACACCGGATAGTATATTCAAATTTGAACAGTCAATAAGAAATCGAAATTTCGTTCTTGACAGTTTTTCAATAAGAACTGATATACTATAGGTGGTCGTAAGAACTGTGCATGCAAATTTAGGAATTTGTTGATGCAATTTTCTTCTACAAATTGGTTCATTTCAGTTTCACCATTCAGGACAACAACATCAACTTCTGTTCACATACCACAATTCGCCATGAATAATTTTCATGTTGAAAACGGAAACAGATATTTCTTCAACCATTTGTTTCCACTGACTAAGTGGAATCTATGAATATATTGAAATAATACTCATATTCTTACTTGTGATAACGAGCAGATGGATTCCAAAGGAAATTCAGAGAATTCAATATATGTATTAAGATTGGTATACCCTTGTTGATGGGATCCGTGTATTTGAGCATACAAATTCTCTACTGGAGTCGTTTCTCTCTAAATACACTCAAGATTTCCTACTTTGCCACAGCCTCCCATGTTGTACTTTCCTAATTAGTTGAGAAACTTTGTTAATTTTAGTCTTGTCATGTCAACACAAACGGTGCCGTTGAATCTGACCAGTGAAGGGCTCATATTCCCTTCCGTTTTGATATATTCTCAGCTTGGATAATATTTCTTCAGATGAAAACAGAGAGCTCAAAGTCATTTCCACACGATGTTTATAAAATGAACAACAATGGTAGATTTCGGAGTTGAAACAACTACTTTCCTAGCTAATGCCACGCAGAATATTGAATCGTATCTCTCAAGTCCGAATAACCTGAAATAATTGTTCTTCCAGCGTTCCATCGCGTACGTCTCATGAAATGTCCGAGCAAGAATGTCCATGGAATGTCTTAGCTGGTACATCATTTCAAATTTCCTTGAAATGGCGTCCTTCAGACGTGGTTCATATTGTAGAATGTCCATACAAGGACGTCATTATTATGTCCCTGATGAGATATAATTCAATTTCAAACGTTCGGAAATCCGTCGGATGTGCCAAGTGGTACTTTTTATGGCATGACTTCTTATCTCATATAATTTTTCTTCTAGAACAACCATTAAAAATCCCAGACGATACATTCCTTCAAATATTTCAGAACGGACGCCTCTAGTATTTTCAGAATCGTATAACATTTGGAATGACCCTGAGGAACATTCGTCGGATGTCTCTAATGGTACATGAACTGTTATGACCAAAGGAACTCCTATAGATAATCCATATGTTCATCTATAAGTAATGAGTACAAGACTATTCTTCAGGAAATATAATTTCCTGAGATGTCATGAGTACAACGTCATTTAGACGTCCCACGGACGATCCGGAATGTATTCTATGAAGTACATTCATCAGGACTTCAGATAGATATCCTATATAAATTTCCTTCACGTAACCGAATGATCATTTTATTTTACAATATCCTAGAAATAACGTCCTTGGAACGTCCCAGTCGTTAACTCACACCTTGCCGATGATCGACTGCTCCTAGGCTATAAATACTTTCCGTCAACGTCCTAAACGCAAGTCCATTGGACATCCTTGGGAACTTGCTTCAGGATATATTGGGGACCTTCTACGGACCATCAACTGAACTGGATGTCCTCATCAGCAATGCAAGATTCGGTCCTATAGGTAGACCGAAATCATTTCAAATTCAAGAATGATTCGAGCGTTTCTGGGACATCATATGGACATTCCAGAGGAAGTCCTATCGAAAGTCCAGAGACGTCCTATGATTATTCTAGAAGACGTCTCATGGAATTTTCAGAGTACGTTCTAGAGACATTGTAGAGGACGTTTCATAGGATTTTGGTGAGAAGTCGGAACATTTGTACTATAGATGTCCGCGGTACCAAGAATGCATGTCCTATAGCCGTCTCTAATGCCCCAGCGGGATGTCCTATGGATATTCATGTGAACTCAGTGTGCTATTTGTGATATTTGATGAGTGGAGGTATGCTATAGATTTGACCTTTCAATAACAGCAGTACTTCTCGAGTGGGGTCATTCTCGTTCCATTTGTCTAGACTCATAGCTTCTCCTGTTTGGTTCTAAAAATAGTGTGTTATCGCTCATTCTTTGGCGGGGGAATCAGAAGGTTTTGTTTCAACAGTCTCAGACTGATTCAGAATCAGATGTACTCTAAGCACATATGGTGACTGTCTAAGTCCAGACTTTATAATGATCTTGTTCTCAAGAAATTCACAGTCATTTTCATACATATTCTAAACTAATGGATCTAGCGACTCTTCTTCGGAATATATGAGACAAAAAATACATTTTATGGCAAGTATACTCCTC